ATAGGGTGTAAATAAAGTGCATAGCATGCCATGCTTGGATTATGCTTGTATATGCATAAACTATTTCTGGAAGGATAAAGAAGAAAGTACTAACCGTGATTGCCTGTAAGGAGGGAGCTGGGTGACTCAGAAATAAGAGGGAGGCTTTCACTGCTTACTTATTCTATACCTTTAAGATGTGTGCGACTAGTATGCACGATTATAATTAATTAATTAATTTTTCTTTTAATTAGTTAATGGATAAAAGATCCTTAAAAGGCATATCCTTTCTTGGGACTGTGCCTTGATAAAAAAGACTGTGCAAAACAGAATAAGGCCATAATCCAGACTGGTGTTGCCAAGTTGAGGACTGTGCAAGAGTGCAGCCTTGGAGCTCGGAGTGAGGCAGCTCAGTCCTGCAGCCCACTCCTGCGGGTGTGTAGAGGGTGCTGTGTCCAGTGTGCAGAGAGTGCTGTGTTGGTGCTGAGTATGCAATTACAGGAAGAACAGTTTGTGGTGGAATAAGACACAGGCTTGCTAGCCTGGCAGGACCAGAGCTCAGCAAGTGCAATATACTCACAATGGTAGGGAAAATGTCACAGTGTCTCAGGCTTGCTTGCTGTATATTGGACACTTGGAAACAGGAAACTATGAGATGCAGAGCCCTAGAATGGTCTATGGAGGGAGAAGAACTTCATTCCCATATTGGTAAAGCCACTTACATCCTTTGTGGCCTTAGGCCACAAATTTGTTTATTTTTTCTAAAAAGAAATATCTTAAGACTTCTCCTGGTGATTATTATGCATATTTAATCTATATAAGCCTAAATAAAACAAAAATGTATAAAATGAAAAACAAAATCCCTCATACATCGCTTAATTTTCTCCTCCACCTCCTGCCTTACCTTGACAATCACTGTTTATTTCCTTCCAAATTTTAATGAATGTATAAATGTACCTAATCATTTAGCATAAATGGAATTCTACTACACATTATATTTTCTCCCTGTATGAAATATAGGCTAGGAGTCAGCAAACTTTTTCTGTAAAAGGTAAGATAGTAAATATTCTAGGCTTCACATGCCATACAGTCTATGTTGCAATTACTCATCTCTGCTGTTACAGCAGGAAATCAGCCGTATATGATACACAATGAATGGATATAGCTGTGCTCCAATAAAACTTTATTTACAAAACAGGCAGCAGACCACATTTGGCCTATGAGACCAAGTTTCCCAACTAAGTTTGCCTGATACACTTAAATCTACCTCATCTTTTTCACTGGGTGCCTAGTACTCCATTGAACGAATAAAGAAATTCACTTAACTCATCCCTCGTTAATAGGTATCTACAATCACTTCCCTTAGAAGCCCTCTTAACCAAACACTACTTATTGACTAGCTGGGTTAGGTGATGCTCTCTTTCCATCCCCTTGTGTACGTGCTCACTGCTTTCCATGGTGCACTGACGTTGCATGCCTCGCAGGCTGCTCTTCACTCCAGCTGTCTTCTTGTGCTTTCACCAGCAGTCCCAGGCTTGTTTAAACATTTGCACTTGTTATTGTAGTAGGAAATTTAATTAAATAGTATGTTGACCAAGAAAGCAATTGTTGTTTCTACAAAAACAAAGTTGGTTATTCTTGGAAAGACCTGATTAAGGTTAATTGCTTAAAAAGAAATCTGTCAAGTTAGATTTGGATGAGATAACTACAACAGAGTGAAAACAAAAGAGCAGGAAGTGGGCAGTGGACGTGAAGGCCTCCACGTTAGCTCTTTGGAAACAGCAGGCCAAGCTGTGAGGGTGTGTCCGGTCTTAGACACTGCCCTCCTTCCTTGGCAGTTTTCATAGGCTGAACTGAGCAGGGGAATTGCCTTCTGCCTGAAGACACCCTAGGCTCCCACCTTGCCCAATCATCCTTTCCAGGTCTTGGGGGACGTCTTATCTCTGGTTTTTAGCCTACATTTTCAGAGTCTGAAATGAAAGGTTAGTAAGCAGGAGATTGTGTTTCTTCTCTCAAAGGCCTGGTCCATTACCATTTAAAATGGCAATAAGCCCGCATTTACATTTTGATGTTGTTCATGCTTTATTTCCTTTGCACACTGTCTATTCTGTGGCCCCTAGTTTTTCTTGCAGGCAGAATCTATCTTATCTGACATCGCAAAGCAGTTAACATTGATTCTGGTGAATGGTCTACTTTGATTTTTGCTACAGGGAGATTTTAGTACAAATTCACATATATTGTTTCCTCAGCAAATAGAAAAATATGTCCCACATTCATTATGTTGGGAATGCCGAGCCTGCTATTTTGTAACTCACCGTCTCATCTCTTTTATTTGCTTTCTCTGTCACTGTCGATCTTTTCCTAATATTTCATTCGTTATGCAGACTTCTTTCTCAGAGCCGAGTTTGGCAGTGGAGTTTGCCTAACTAATGGGGACCATATGCTCTGCAATTATATTCCCCAACAATGTTCAGAGTTGTTAGCAACCATTAAGAAGGCAAGTTGAGAAACTAGAGTGCAAAGATTGTCAGGAATTGGCACATTGTGATAGGTAAACCTGCTTTTTGCTGACTCCTATGTATGAGTTCTGGTTTGGGCTGGTATTGGTTTAGGAAGAACAGGGATTTGTTTTTGAAAGTATAAGCAATTGGTATATTTTTCTTCAAATGTGTTTTGTTAAGATTGTTCTCTCTCATGTGTTCCCAATGGCATACTGTACTTATTCCTATAGAATATTTTTTAACACATGACTATTACCTGTTTATTTGTTGGTTGCATCCCTCTCCAGGCTGTAAGCTGAGATCATGAAGATACACCCTGTTGTATCCCTAGCTCCCAGTAGAGGAATGCAAACATAATAGCTATTTGGTCAATATTTGGCTGATGAACAAATGAGACAATCTCTAGAATACTTTTCTCCACAGTTTATCTCCCTCCCTTCCTCCAGGCTAGACCAGCCTTAACCTTGGGAGTCCAGCCTTCCCAAAAGAGTTCAAAGCACGAGTTCTGAAGATTTAAACCATGGCTCTGAAATCACAGCACTAATTTTTTGGAGGCCTTTTTTTTTTTTTGCCTTGAGTTAAAGTTTCACCTATCACCTTATTAGGGGTGAGTGTGGGGCAGGATGAGTCAAACCTTTAGAAAGTTGTCCTGAGTTTTGATCAGTTAAACGCAGGAGAAAAGAACATTGCTTCACTGTGCAGATGTCAAGAAAGGGTAACTAGCTTAGGAGCAGGTGGCTGAGGAAAGAAACGTTCTAACTTTCCATGGCCAATCTGAGGACTGCTTGTTTCTTCAGAGGTCTGTATGCTGGGGCCTTCTGCAGGAGCATGTAGTCCTCTGGCCATGATGTGGCCCTGTGTGGATTCACAGGCGCTGCATCTAATGACGGCAGCTCTCCCTCTCCGCCACTGTCCATTGCAATCTTGGGCTGGCACCCAATGATGGTCTCCTTGGAGGTCTAGGGATCTGTCTGCACTTGAAGCTGGAAAGGCAAGCCCATGGCTTCTAGAAGTCCACAACTTGGCTAAAGCAGCCTGACAGGAACTCAGGGACTTTGCCACCCACCCCCCTATGGCCATGTGGGCGCCACAGAGACACAGAGAACACTCGTTGTTTTAGAACACAAATACATAAATTTTTATTCTGAGAAAAATACAAAATGAAACCATGTACAAGTTATGTACAAACCCTTTTTACAAGACAAGAGAGTTATCACTGGTTGTTACAGATGACAGAGGTGGGTAGATCATTTCAGAGCACCAGCATTCCTTCTTTCCTCCACTTCCTGTTAGGTCATAGTAATTAATCATAACGTAATGCCAGCAATCAAAGATTTGGAAGATAGATGAATAAGCCATGCTCTTTTCCTTAATGACCATGTAGGCTGACATCTGTGTAAGTGTACTTTTTTTCTTCCTCTCCTGAAGAAATGTTGAGTGCAGGTTTTGGTGTTAAGTGGGGGAAGGGTTCTTTTCAGCATCTGGGTGGGAGGATGTGGGCCAGAAGTTTTAGGCAGGATGTGATTGTGCCACCTGGGAATGGAACATTTTAATTAGTGTTTCTAAGCAGATCTTGGTTTATGTTTGAAATGTTGCAGTTCTGGTCAAACATGTCTCAGGCTGTCCTCAGTGGAAGGAAGGAAGAGGAGCAGGCCACTCAGGGGCAGTTGGGGCTTTGGTTTAGTGTGGAAGTGGGGCTCCCTCATCTGCTCACTGCTTTCTCACACTGACCCTGAATCCCCTTGTGAGGAAAGCTCTGGTTTGCTCTGGCAGGCATGTGTCAGTGCCGTTTGTACATTTCTGTCTAAGATTCTGAACAGTGGGCCCAGTAATGCTTCCTAACGCAGGCACACTGGAGAGCTTTCAAGTCACTTTCATCCTTGTTCTGCTGAATAGCAAGGTGGAGGAGAAGAAACACAGAAGTCCTCAAGGGGATAAACAGACCAAAGGAAATCTTTTTAAATTTAAAATCTACCTAGAGATTAAGGTTGGTTTTCACCAGGCCAAAAAAACCTCTCTCCTCATGCTGCCTGTCCAGAAAAGCCACCAACGCAAGGTGATGATCAAATTTATTTTAGGAACCATAAAGTCAAAGCTGCCAATATGTGTGCTGTTTGGTGGAGGATGAGGTACAATGAGCAACATGAACAGGAAGGTGGAATAAGAGGCCACCTCAAGATCTCTCTCTTTTGAGTCCGTCTCCAGGAAGAATGCCAGTGACCTAGAAATCCTGTCCAAACTCCATTACCCATGGCATCCAAAGTAACACATAGTGGCCTACTGACTGCCCACCCTGAGCGAGACCTCATGACAAGCTCTGGAGAGAAAGACAAATAAGCACAGCCCCTGCCCTTGTCAAGTGAGTTCTTTTACTTCTGAGTCACTATCTCCAATGCCCTTTATCTCCAACCTCATAGACGACCCACCCTCTCTATCTTAAAGTCCCCCTCTCTTGTTTCCCACTTTCCTGCTTCTGGAGTACCCTCAATCTCCTATCTCAAGAGTGTCTACTTATTTTGGTTTTTTGAGCCCCTAAAAATGTGGTTGTAGGGGCTGGTCCTGTGGCGTAGTGGTTAAGTTCAGCATTCTCCATTTTGGCAGCCATGGCCCATTAAGCTCCCCCTCCCTGGAAATCCATTATACTCCACATTTCTCTAGCCATCTATTTCCTATTGAAATGCCTCCAAAGCCCATCAAGCATCATATTCCTCTGCACTCTTCCCAGTGGATTATAGTTCAATGTAATCTCTTTCTCCTTTCAACACAAAGCACTAACTCTGAACACCACATACATGCTCCTGGTTGATGGTGTCTTAAAATACTTTTTATATCCTTTTGTTTTTGTTCTTTCTTCCCACCTTTTTGATATATGTCCTGAGTTTGGCCTGTCGTTAGATGCAGAAGTGTCAGGCCCGTTTTCACACCAGAAAATGAGGCAAAAAGGAAGTCTGGTACAGATAGTCTAACACACAACTCCTCCCCTAGTCTAATCCTGTGGGGCTGTGATATCATGGTGCCTCCAACCATTGGCTAAAGGGCTACTGCCTTTGGACACACGGGCTCCTTTCTCTTCGTACCTGTTCCAAACAAATTTACCATAGGAATGGCAAATTAGGTTCTGTAATTCCTTGGGAAATAAAATTAAAGATAAAAGTATTCTCTGAATTGTCTTATTTTATGGAAATCTTGAAAATATTAACAACTGGCATTATGTGAGCAACAACCAACCAGAACAGATTTCACTTAAACAGATTTCGCCAATAAGGCACCACTAGTACAAACTGGTTGGAAACGGTTTCTAATGACTACTCTCTCATAAATAAACCCAAAGGGCCACATCACCTCCTCAAAAGATCATGGGATTTAAATGTCAAATCATCTCTACTGGATAGAAAAATAATGCCCTTTGGGGACATTGGGTGAGTAGAGGAGGGGCAGAAATGTAATTTATCAGGGAAGTGGTAAGTGAATTCTCAGTTCCTTCTGCTTTTTACAGAGGATGAGTCAAGCCCTAAATAGCAAAGGCCCTTTCAAGGGCCACAGTGATTGGTGATCTCACCACCATTCCAAAGCAGCAAAGAGGAACAGAATAGAAAATAGACGCTAGGGACAGAATGGAAAGTGGACGGATTCTGCTCTGGAACTTCTATCCACATTGAATGGATTTGCTTTGTTTCCTATGAGCAAGGCAGTTCATGTCGCAGTCAATTGATGTGATATTCTTTTTTTCTCTCTCTTCCTCCTTTTGTCCTTTCCTCCCTTTTTTCCTTTACTGAGATTCTCTTTGACAATAAAAAATGATTGATCAAAATTAGCCTTATGAATGTATGTGGCAAGGAGATAGTATACTAACGAGAAAAAAAAAATCAAACAGAGGATAGGAAATGAAGTAAGATTGGTTACTCCCAAAGCCCAGATCCACATGCAGAAATAAAAATGAGGAAAATTGCAGGAATCTAGGGGTCATGAGGCTCTAACTACATTTTGGAAATTGTAGCTATGGGTTAGAGATGCAGGGACAGACTTAAACTGTGCCTTAAACCAAGAACAAAGGCAGACAGGGATGAGATGGAGAAGAAAACCTTAGGAACATGCAGGAAACTCTGATCAACACGATTCAGGTGGATTAGAATTTTTAAATTTGTATTTTGACTCTAAAGAGACTCCAAAGTGTAAAGCAGAGGAATGAAGCTAACTCCTATATGTCCAGAGCAGAAAATATACATTACCCTCTGGAGTATTGCTTGGGTGATGCAGTAAGAAGGATCGTTATTCTAGGACAGGACAAGACTGTCTCCAAGGGCTTGGCTTGTTCGCATTCTCCCACTCCTAACTTAGGTCAGGTCCTCTCAGATCTGAAAGGGACCTTAGACTCATCTAGATGAACCACTTTCATTTACAAATGAGCTCACTGAGACTTGGAGAGTCTAAAGAACACTTTCGAAGTGCATAGCTAGTTATTTGCAGATGTAGCTGTTGAACCCTCACGTGAAAACTTAAGTAGGAAATTTGGACTCTCTTGCCTTTCGACATGAAAATATCCCCAATTTTCTTATGTTTTCTCACTTTCCTCCTTCCCAACCCTAACCAAACAGTTCTAATTCCCTGTTTATTTAAATTCTTCAATTAAATTTTTATAAAGTGCATCATAAGATGCTCCAACCTTTGGAAGGATAGAGCTTCTAGGTGTCATCAACTTGCTTTAGTCACAATCATTTTTATCTAAGGTGTCCTATCTTGGTTCAAAGTGACATTTTAAAATGTAAAATTGCTCAGACAAAAGTTAAAGTTTTCTTTAATGAGAAAGATGATGATGGTGATGATGTCTTTGTAAGTAGGTGCTTTCTGCATTTTAAATAGCCTGTTTGTGAGTCTTTGATTCTCAAAGGATGCAAGAATCATTAGTGAGGGAAAAATGGCTTTTCTGGAACCCTAAACTGGAATAGGAGATCAGAACCTTATAACACAGACTGTACCAATGATGACCATCATTGGTCTATGCTCACTTTAGCCAGAAAGACGGCTCTTTTCACAGGGAGATGGGATGAGGACTCCTTCAAAGCCAGAGAGTTCAACAAATAGAGACAAATCAGGGAAACTCTGGCATGCTTTTGAGCCCTTGAGTGGTCTTACAGTCTAGTTTCTGTTTTGATTTCACTTTCAACCTACCAGGCACCAGTTTTTGCCAAAGGAGTTACCAACCAGTCATTTTGCATGCTCCTTTAAAAAAAAATGCCTGATTTTATTTTCTGGCCCAGAACAATTCATTATTACAAAGGCAAAATAGCATGAGCTTGCTTCTCTACCTTAGAAGAAAGTGGATTCCTGCCAATTGGTTTTTGGGGTGAAGTCTTTTGCTATAGGAAATCATCTTAGCCATTTTGGTTAAAAAAAAAGTAAAGAAGTTTAGATTCGGATCTCTAGCCATTATGGACATGGAGTTTTCACTTCTGCTTCCAGACTGCCTTGGTATGGAGAGATGGGGAGGAGGGGGCATCAGGCATGGGACACTGGCTTAATGGAAGATCTTCCTCTAACGGAAGATCGTTTAGGTGGCCACGGTGCCTGCCAGAGGGGACCACATAGTTACAACAAATTCAGAAATGGTTATCAGGTTATTAGGATTCATGAAGGGGGTTCATGAAGGAAAGAAGAGCGTGGGCTGATGTGAATGTACTAAGGTGACCCAAATGCAAAATTGTCATATAGAAGAAGGCCTAGCTTTCAGGAAAGTTGTAAAATCCTAGCAAGAGATTTGCCCCAGAAACCTGTTTTACTTCTGTTGGAAACCAGAAAATGTTTATAAGCCTGAATATAGACTGCTGAAGTCATTTTCGTCTTCTGAATAGACTAGTGATTGGTTATAAGTAGTTTTTAAACCATCCAATTAGACATACATTATATTCACAATACTTTTATAGAACTAATGCTACAAAATGTGACGACACGGTAGCCACAGTCTGACAAGTCACTTTAGGATGGCGCTTATAAGGTGGGAGCACAACTACACTGGTTCTGCAGGGAGTGGACAGAGGTGGAAGCTCATTTTGCCTACGTTGACAATTGGAGTACTTAGTGGACATATGTTTTCATGGTGATTTCCTTGCTTGGCTCTGATCTGATTTGCACTAACATACTAGGTACCACAGGGTCATGGCATAAAGAATTAATGGACTAGATATCATGGGACTTTAGGGGATATTTTGGTTGGTTTTGTTTCTCCAAGTGTTCACAATTTACATTTTTAAGAAAATAAAAATCACTGTCACAGCCATGCTTCTCCAGAGACCCTGATGATTGCATCAAAGATTGATAATTTTGAAGTTGAAAGACTTGCTAAATTGTTTGGAACATAACAGTTGCCTGGACAACTGTACATGGAGCATGCAAGTGACCACAGAGCTCGGAGACATCATAATTTGTGACTGATGGCTAGAAAAATCTTTTGATCACAGTTTAAAGTGGCTGATAGATTTAATTTCATTACTGGTAATTTTCAAAGGCCTTTTCTAATAGTCTATACTAAGTGCATTCATTGCTTTCCTTTTGTTGTTATTGTTTTTTATGTAGTTGTACCAAGTTTGTATGTTTTATCCCAGCAACTAAAGGGAAGTCTGCAAAATTAAAATCTGGGCAAAAGTCGTCTCTTTGAAAATTTTCTGGCTTTTACACAAAACCTCAGTGAAAAGAATGAATGTATTATCATATCCTATTGTTAAGTAAAACTACTCATTGGTGTTTACAAATTTTCAGGCTAAAAGCTCTGAGACCTAGGGAGTGGGGAGAAAGTCCGCCAGACTCTTGCAAAGTTGAGATTACTTGCTTGAGTGATTTGGAGACACAAAACAAAAAGCACAATAACATGTAGGAGTCCCCATCATTAGAACAACAAATAGAGCAGTATCTTGTATGTGTCTGATCCTCAACACCCGCGTCTTAGGCATGCTCACAACCCTCCAGGTATCCATAGCTGGCCGGGTAAGTCTAATCTGGCAATTACAGAAAAGCTGCAAGAAGGTCTTCCCTTTAAACACATGAACAGAGGGATGAGAAATACAGAAGGAAAACTAAAACTACAAAAATATGACTTTCAACTGTGAAAATAAATGTGTCCATTTATTAAGAGCTGGTGTCAATGCAGCCAAAATATACACCCATCCAGGAAATTCACCTGCTCCCTTTTGTCTTCGTTTTTGAATTTACTAAAATATATGTTTACATCACTGGACCACTTTTAAATTGTTTTAAAAACCCATTTCCCTTAATTGCAATTAATTCTGGTGGTAACCATCATTCTCCTTGAAGAAAAAGAGATAAATAAGAGAAATTGCATTAAAGAGCCTGGCCACAGAGTAAGTCATTTTGATTTTGCATTGTTAGATGAAGGGAAGATATTTGACAATGAAAAAAAAAAAAGAAAAAATATATTTTCTTTCTAATAAATAAAAATAATTTAAAATGCTAGAGGCTATACATGACTATTTTAGTATGTTCATTTATAAATGAAATCATTTTCTTTTCCAAAATACATGGAAGCAATATTCAAGGCAGACAAAGAGAAAGATCTCTCTACTTTATTGTTCTTGCTATTCCTGCTTATCCTAACGTTTCCACCAGTGATTCAGCATGTAAGAGGAAGAAAAGTCACATCACCATTTATGAAGTTTGTCAGGCTTTAAAAAAATAGTTCTGGTCTCCTGGGAGTCAACATTCATCTTCAACTTCTCTGATTGGTGGAATCAAGCTGCTTGTGGATTTATATTGATTGATCTGGTTAGCCATGGGCTTGATTTGAATGTTTCTGGGATAGGCATTATCCGGTTCATCTGTAAACCATTTCTTTTCTGCTAAAGGACAAAATGGATAAAGAACAAAAAGGAGAAATGAGAAGCTTAATTAGTCCTAGGGTAAAGATGTTGGAAAGCTCATTGAAAACTGCAAAAAGGTAATTGATAGAAGCTTACGGTGAGTAATTGCTCAGAGACAGTGCAGTGTAGGGAGAACCCCAGAACCTGAAACATACCTCTGCTGCCTGTAGCAAGTGATGAACCAATGGAACACTGGGACTTGGAGGCACCGTGGGTGGACTTCAGAGAATAAAGAGGGTTGGAAGATAAACTCTGGCAATGTTCCCTGGGGTTCCTCTAGTGGCCTGAAAAACTTTGGTGAGGAGGAGATGCTGAGGACATCAAATAATGGATATGGACATTGTGGCTGAGGAAAGAATTGTGCATCCACCAATTTGAGTGGAATAAGTTTCTAGATCTTATTCCATTGTCCCTGCCGCAGAGTGAGTGGCCTAGAATCTTATGCAGGATCTCCTCCTCCCAGCCTTTACTTGGCTTTGCTTGTAACAAGCATACTTAAAGGTATACTCAATTAGACCTCTCTTCTGCTTCTTTTGCAGCCAGTTTTGGGGATCTTAAAGTAAGGCCACAGATTTTTCTGGCAAATGACAGCGAAAATCAGAATAGCACCCAATGTTTTAGAAGGATTTTGAGATGGCTTTTATTTCAAAAAGAAAACTCTGTGTTGGTGTAAAGTTATAAAAAGAATTCATAGTGGCAATATCTTAAACAACTATAATAACCCAAGCTGTCGACAGAAGAACTCCACACAGTCTTGGCATTTCATTTCCACCCTAAATACAGAGAGGGCTGAGAGAGAATGCTGAGTCAGGGCATCCGGGGCTGGGATGAGAATGGAAACAGCCTAACATCCTTGTAGCTGTTCAGTGCTCTTTCACAAGACTTGGTCCTCATCCCCACTGCCTTCCAGGATCAAAAATTTCTACAAAATCACCCAGGTGTGTAGATATGAAGAGACTGGGAGAATAGGACGTTCTAACTTGGGAATTACATGCCTCATTTTAGTTGCTTAGTAAAAGGAAAGAAAGAGGGAAAAAGCTTTCAAGCACACCCACTGCTATAGACAATGGCCTCTCTGGTCTCCTTTTCAGCCTATGAGAACAATTCAAACTGCCTTGTTAGGGGTCCTGGATTGATAACGTTAACAAAAATTGCTCACCTGGCTTGACAGAGGATCACATGTGTGTGTGTATGTGTTTCTCCCTGTTTGACTAATGATTCATAAATTCAGCATCGATGATGAGCTCACGATCACTCTGCTTCTATTCTCCTTGGTCCATACTTTCTCTTGCTGTGTCAAATGCCCTGAGCCCTCAATGTAAACACTGTCACTGGAGTAGGGTGTGCCCTGATGAAAGCCCACTCACTACCTTTTATTCAGCAGCTCAGTTTACCCCCAGGAAACTTACTGCCTCTTGGATCATTCTCCACTGCCCTTTCTCCTGTGCTGGCTCTCTCACCTATTATAATTAAGTTCACTTTGATTTGAACAGATTGGACGATAGGAATTCATAATGCTACATCCTCACAGTGAAGCTAACTGATTAAGTGCTTTAAATTATTCCCCCTGACAGAATGATAAAGTTACAATCTGTTCTGAGATGATCTACAGCTTGCCAGACTCCTACAGCTTCTTTCTACATTCATTTATCTTTTTGTCAAGCAGAGTTTTTTTTTTCCCCTAAGCTTCAATTCCATAGATCTTTTAAAGTCATCAGCACATCTGAATTATTAATGAGGCTTTAGAGGCAAGGTTCCTGATGGGCTGGTTAAAAAAGATTGTATAGAAATCCAGGACTGTGTACACATCAAAATAATTTCAGCTCCATTTAAAAAACCATTTAGTTCAAGTGTGACATAGATGAACCATTATGCATTTGTGGAAACCAGTTTTTTGTGATCTACTATTAAACTAACCCTTCAGAGAGAAGTAAAGTGTAGTGGTTATCATGTTTTAAAAGCATTGCCAGGCTGCTGAAACAATTTCAAACCATGACTTTTTCCAACAGTTTATACGTAAAGATGATTTTCAGAAGAGCCCAGATCTGTGCTGTTTGTCTGAGCCGCCCTTGGTTTCGGCCAGCCATTATGTGGACTGATTTTGCAAAGGGATTTCGTACTAGGTTGGACATGCCAGGTTGGAAGGGAGAGTGAACTCTGCTGATGGAAACAAGTAGGTCTTCGGGGTGAAAGACCTAAGACAGCTGCAATTTGCTGAAATTTTATAACTGCTGCAGAGAATAATTGTTCAGAATTTAGTCTTTACAGTTCAATTCAAAGTCGGCATTTTGACCTTTCACAGTAGAGAGAATATCAATTTCCTTCTGCTGTCTGTAAGAAAGAGAACATTATTTCCCCATTTAAGCTTCTTTCTCTCTTTCTTTTTAAATTTCTTGCCATAAAAAAAAATCTAACCAGAGTAACACTGTGTTTTGCTTAGTCAACTTCAACACAACAAGGAGTTGTGTTAAAGCACACCCTGGTGATGAGGTGAGGTTTTCATTGTGCCTGAGAAATAGGCTTTTTAATTCAGCGTCTTGTAAGCTATAAATATATGTGTTGTTGGAGACTTGGTTAGTTTAGATAAATGGCGAGGAAATAGAAATATATTAATGTTCTGAGATTGTACTAAAATGTCTTGGGGCGAAGGTGTTTTTATGAAGAAATTCTCCCAAAGGGCTTCAGAGGGACGCACACTTCATCGATCGCCAGCCACTCCACTGCAATGAAGAGTGCTTCGATACGACAAGGACATTTTGGTCCATCGATTCTTGCCTTCCAAAGAAGAAACTGCACCAATGAGTGACTCCAAAAGGAGCCAGCAGGAAGAGTACTCAGAGAAGGAATTCAAATGAGTGCTGAAGTGGTCCAGGATAAATCCAGTCCCTGAGTTTATCTCCTTTCCCTGCCTCATTCTACATGCTGGAAAGATTTCCGGGAGCTTTATTTTTATCCCTAAAATGAGAAGGGCAATGGATCTGGTTGTGACAGTCTCCTCACTGTGAGAGAAAAATAGCTCCATTTGTTAATAAGCTTCTTGAGGATGCAACACATGATGTCATCACTGTGAGTACAATGTGTGACCTCCCTGGAGGGAGGGAAGGAGAGGATTTCACAGCCTGTGGCAAGCGGACTAGTAGAATATAACTACAGAGAGACGCTGGTAAAAAAAAAAAAAAAAAAACAAAAAAACACTGCTATTGGGAGATGTCACTTGTCAAGACCAGCCATCCTGTGAGCTGTCCACCATGAATAAACAATGAGGCATAGGCCAAGGAGGTGGCGTAAGGCACTTGGTTAAGGTCCAATGGATCTGGCTCTCTCACAAATTTCTGAGCATGCAGAAGGCAACCTTCTCAATGTTGATGTTTCGATAAAAAGGGCTAGTGCCCATGAAGCACTTACCACAGGTCCAGATACATAGTACATACATGTGAGCTGTTAAGACTATCAGTATTATTAGTAGTATTAGCAGGCAATAGAGCAGAGTGGCAAAGTTCATAGACTTTAGTTTTAAATTCCACTCTGCCACTTCTTGGCTGGGTGACTTTGAACAAATCTGTTCCTCAGATCCCGCATCTTTCAAACGGAGATACTACCGGCATCTCCATCTGAGGTTGTCGTGAGGACTGGATGAGTTAAGATACGTAGAGAGCTTAGAAGAGTGTCTTGCCCATGGTAAGCACTAAGGTGTTAGCTTTTAGTATAAGGTTAGCATTAATATGAGTACTCTCAGTACTAAAGGACTACATAAGGATGGGTAGTACCTTTTGGTGTGATTGAAAATGGCTGGAGGTGGGGAACTGAGGTGTATAAATTGGGGTGCTAGTCTGAAGAATGGGGATTGTGGCAGTAGAGATGACAGGAGGCTTTGGTTGGGTAGTCTTCATTTGGAAGGTGAAGAGAGGAAGGGATGGCCCAATGCTCTGTCTGGGGAGTTCAGGGCTGCTACCCTCCTGTGGTACCTGTGTCTTTGAAATGTTGGCTTTCACTTGACAGGTGTTCTACCCCATCTTCAAACCATCTGTATCTTCCATTTCTACTTTCGTCACTGAACTGAAAGGGTCCAGAATAAGAGTCACGACTTCCTCCAAAGGAGTGGGCTATGGTGGGGAAGGGCCCCAGACCTGGGCTCATATAACTGCCTGGTTACTCAGCAGCAGAGAAACAGACTGCCCTGTGAAAACTGAGCCTCCTTGTTGGTTCCGTGGGTTGTAAGTGCTGAGGGATTTAGTTTTTTCACATAACTACTCCCCAGAGAAGAGTGCATTAAAGGGGAGATGATGATACAGCAAAGGCATTTAGAATAATTGGCCCCGTTCTCACCCAACACAAGCTGAGGTTTAGAGAGAAAGGACTAGAAAGGAAAAAGTTCCATTTGGATAGAGACAATAGTTGAGAACAGTAAGAGCCAACAAGGAGCTCATGCCTTCAAGAGTAATGCTGCGTGGTTTTGCATCTCACATTTCTGAGAGGCAGTCTGGTATTCATCCTCTGCTGGGCAGAACTCAATGTCCCCAGTGGATCTGACCCATCTACACTGCCACCTTTCCTCTCCATGGGCAAAGTATGGCTATTTCATAGAAATGAAAATCATAGTATCAGAACCAGAGTAGTTTCTGTTTATGAATCTGTCTCACTTCTTTGCAACATGTCCACCATGACTGAAAGTCAAATGCTGCCATTCACTGAGCAGAGCTAACTGTACCCTCCTGGCCTCTTTTGTGGCCCTTGGTCCAGCTGACACCTCAAGGGCAGACTTTTCACTCCTCACTTTCAGGTGGCAGGGGATAATCCCTCTCACCTCCCTATGCAATGAATGTGCAACCTCCTGGTGGGAGATAGTCAACCAATATGGTGACAGGTGCTCACAGCTACTTCTTTATCATGTTATGACAAAGGAAGGATGGGCTGAAAGAAGTGATTGAGACATTGATTTTTACCCTGTCTTGACTTTCACAAGCCCTGAAGTTTCTGCGCTCTCCTCTTTCTCCTTCAGCAGCCTGTTGCTATAGGAACCTGGCAGGTTGATTTAATTGTCTCTATTGGGACGCAGACACCTTTAGGCTTTTCCCATGTTGAGGAAGAGCCAGTCAAAAGGTTTTTCTGGTCATCTGGGATCTTGACAATGCTGGCAGGAAGCACAGTCAGTCTCTCTACTCGCTGAACTTACAAGGCTGTCCTCCTTTTTCAGAAGCTGTGTACTTAGCTGGAGAAAGTGCCGACAGCACAGCAGCTTTCTGAAGCACCTAAAGGCGTCCGGTGTATTTTTTTTAAACGATAAGCTGAGGAGGTAAAGATAATTTATAAGATGATGAAAGGTATAAAAGTGTTGAAGGTCAACTTATTTCAAAACAGTCATTGATTACCTATTGTGAGTAAGGTTCTGGGTCATAACCTTTAATATTTATCACAGAATTTAAAACTTCTCTCACTTGTGGTAAATTTAACTATATGTATAAGGGTCCAGCTTTTTCTTCCTCCATTTGAACTGGTTTCTAGAAGGACACTGGGTAGCAGTCATTAGGGATGTTGATTTCATGATCATCTGAGCGTTGGGGCTGAGAAGTCTTCACTGCGCCTTCTGGTCTACCCACTTACTTAAGGCTCAACCCCTCAAAGCCTAAAGCAAATTGGACTGAATGGTTGACAAATTGCTTCTCTTCTAGAATGGTGCAGATAATTGAGATTCTGGCAGTTGTTCTTTCTAAATGCACGTACTTTCTCTTCAAATAACTCTTTCACTTTCTATCCTTATCTACTTGTTTCCTTTTTTTGGTGGGGAGGGGGAAGAGGAGAGACCTAATATAAGAGCCTTATATACTTTCTTCCAAAGAGAACCTGAAAGAGGAATGGGAAGTTTGGGGTCACATGGAAAACAATGGAGGAGACTCTTTGTTCTATTGAGGAAAGTATAATATAGTAGTTTTGGCTAATAAAATAGGAGTAATAATGACACTTTTTTCATCATTGAATATATCATTACCCAAGTACAGTCACCTCTTAGTTGTGTGGCCAAAGTCCGGGGAAAATCCCAAAATTTCACCTCATGTCACAGTCTGTTCCCACTCCATTCCCATCACAAATAATCTCATCAGAGTTGCTAACAGATTGTATATAAAATGCATTTCGGATTTACTTCTCTCTATCTGCCCAATCTCTGGTTGGGATTTAACAAATGTCTGAAAGACAGGTGGCAGGAGAGACCTGGGTAATAAAGAGACTGAATCGTCAGTGCCCCGATAACTGGGTGTGGGCTATTGAGTTGATAGATACAGCTAAACAGCTTTAATTCGAGGTCACACTGTTCAAACATAAAGGAGACCAGTGCTTTTGCCGTTAATAACCCTCCTGGTTTAAACCAAAAGGAGGATAAAATATTAACTGAGAAGCAGGTTTGCCAAATGGAATAGCTCCAAATGTTTTCCAGGAAAAATTATCACCTGGCATCATCACTTGATTTAGTAGGTCTTGCCAAGATAAACACAGAGATGTGGACAGACTGATGGGGGACTGGGTTGGGGTGGTGGTAATGGGGGGAAGTGGAGGAAGCTGGGTTTCTTGATGGGAAAATGCTTTTGGACTTGGAGCAAGGTACCAAGGTGGGCAGGGAGGCCACGTGCAGATTTAAAGGCAAGCCAGATGGAGAGAAGTTCCCCCCAAATTACCCAACCCCATACCCAGGAACACCAAAACAAACTCTAAGGGATCTAGCAGTAGCAGCAGCACAGCCTCATTGCGCTGAGCAATTTAGAAAGTGGAGGAAGGAGGAAGAGGAGAAGGAAGGGAAAAGGAGGGGAAATGGGGAGGAAGAAAGCAAAACAAAATAAATAAAACCACAAACAGAATAATATAAATAAAAATAAACAAACCAATAACAGAATAAAATTTTAACTCCTTTTTTTTTTTTTAATTTCACAAAAGTTTTCACAAGGACAACGTTATAGAAGAAAACCCCCAGCAGTGGCTAGGTCATGCAGAACCATTAATTGTCATACCTTGGCCCATTCTATTCATCCTTGTTGCACTTTAGAGAGAGAAGTAAGCTATGTGAGTTTTACAATGCTTTTAAACTGTCATATTTCCTGTTGAGCACTTTAACTGGCACATTCTTATAGTTATAAATGTTCTGAGGGCATAAATTTATGAAAGCATAACATATAGAACTCCTTTGCAAAGAATGCATGAAGAGCTCTTCATGGTCCAAAACTAGGGGATATGTGTGTGTGTGTATATATATATGTAGTTATTATATATAAAAAGATACATAATATATAAATCAATATATAGGGACAGAAATAATTTGAAAAGAATCTTGCTCTCATAGGGCATTTTGATATACACGTATACAATTATTCCCCACCCCATTACTGGTTTGAATACTGCACTGCCCTGTCTTTGGTGTGGGGGCGGAGGTTTTGACTGAGTCTCACCATTTTGTCAGTAAAAGTGCTTGTCAATCCACACAGCAAGCAAATCTCCAAAACTATCATGCTTGGGGGGACAAGGGATCCAAAATCTAAACCCAAAACATTCACCATAAAAACACCTTTTTAGAGAGGTACAGCTGTGACAGTTTTCTCCTCCCATCGACCCCTATTCTGTTTGGTGGAATTTTTTAAAGTAAACATTTCACATATGTGTATACCAGGCCAGGGCTAGTCCATTCATCCCAGAATTTGGTTACGGTGGAGTTGGTTGATTTTTAAGAACTACTGCACTGCATAAAGCATGATTTGTGTGCATAAAACATCTGACAACTGTATATGGAAAAAAGGTTATTTTTCTACCTTTCCACTCATGCTTACTGTTAAAGAAAGAAAACAAAAGAAAAAATAATTAAACCAAAATGTGTTTGGCTCACTGTTGTACTCATCTTCTTCTCCCCATCTCATAATGACAAGGAGCAGTTCTCCATTTGTCATTCACCTGCCTAAGTGAATTGGCTGTGTTAAAGAACTTGCCGAGGAGCAATGTCTCCCACCAGCTTTCTGCTTTGGGACAGCCTACTCCATGCAGCTGTGCCAGCAGTTTAGGTGGTAGCTGGCTTTTGTGTTTGTTGCGTGAACTGTGGCTTGATCCTCCTACATTCTGATTTATTTAGCATGTCGGCTCCTAGAAAAACATGATCTGCTGCTGGGTTGATCTTCCCCTCCCGGACCATGGCCCTCACCCTGGCTCCTGCCTGGTGCTGGGGACCGAGCTAATCAAACAAAGGGGAGTAAAAAGGTCCCCTGAGAATTCGTGGAAAAATACTTGCTCTTTCCTGAGCATTATTTATTCTGTACATAAGGTAAGTGATTCACCTTTTAAAGGATGTAAAAGTCCCAGGAAGGCAGTTTTTAATGACTCACATCTGATATTTATGATACATATGGCTTTTCATCCCAAATGTCAAAAGTGAAAGAAAAAAACAGCTATTCATATGGCAGCATAAGGAGACAAAATAACAATATGCAATCAAAGCTCTTTTCACTTAAATTAAATGACTAGAATTTGATACATCCACGAATGGATCTACTCTCACTCTATAGTAAGAGTAGAAATGTTCATAGGAACTCCTAAAGGAAGCTAGCTCTGGGACAAAAGGCCTTGGTGAGTAACTAAAAAATCTCTAATGTTCTCTTATAACAAGCAGATACTTACTAATCATCTACACAAATGGCGAAAGCCTCTCAAATGCTTCTCGATACTTCGGCCCAGAGAGCGGAAACAATTGATATGGTTTCATTGCTTTTTGGTTGCTTATTTCAGATAAACGTGTGTATATATATTACTGTGTATGTATAAAAAAGAAAGAAAGGACAACAACAAAATCAAAACCCAAAGCACCCTGATAATCCTGATAAATCAGAATAAACTTTTCTTCTACATGAACTAAACTTGCTTTGCATAACTGACGTTGATCGCACGTGCTCTCTTCTAATCTGTGAACTCGTTCCTGCAGTGAGCTATTTATGTCGGGAGCATGCCTTCGGGTTATTTCTCCCCTAGAATCATAAATAACTTTTGGTCCTTCTGCTTATTTGCTGTTGTGCTCAAGGGTTTTATGGTGGTGAAATAAAAATGACAACCACATGCACACTATCATACATATGCAAATATGTGTAAAAAAAAGGGGGGACTACAGGGGAAAATGGGGAAAGTTACTGTTGGGAACACCCACTGGGGAAATGAGTGGCAGATACAGTTTCACACACGGTGGCAGTGGATACACATATCAAAGCCGCTCTTCCTGCACGTACTTCTGTTTGTCTCGGGACTCCCGGGACTTGGGCCGGTTCTGTCGGTTTGCTGTGGATGGGATGGAGTGAACGGAGGAACTCTTCTTGCTGGAGGACTGCGATGAGTGGGAGGAATGGGAGAGGCTGGCTCGGGACTGGCCGGCGTTGTGGTCAAACTGCATTAAGCAGAAGATCAGGTCCGTCGGCACAAGTTCAAACTCGTATGGGGGGTTGGTGATGACATACCTGGACGGGAAAGCAAAGAGGTCACAGCCTGGGGATAACTGGGTAGAGAATTCACTCCTGTCTGAACCAGAAGGAACTGCCTGGTTCCTCAGGTCTGCCAGAGGATCTGGATGATGGACTTCTAGCTGATCCAAGGCCTTAAAAATTATCTTCCAATCTGAACTAAATCTTCCTCTGTTTGAGACAACAGAAGAGGCCAACCATGAGCCCTGGCAGGGATGCTTAATTAGTGCCAATAATGGGAGAACCAAGCTGTGCTTCCTATGGTCTGTGTGCCCTTTCAATACAATGTCAAGTTCACTGCTGAGCCTGAGTAGCCCAACTGCATGAAGGAGGTTTCATGAACTGCACTGTGACTTTCATTCTAGAATGTTCTGACAAGCCCAGACACATGTCACAGGATCTTTGTTTACCATGACTTAGCATCCTGTTAGTCCTTCCTCATTCTTTACGTTTTAAAATTTGGTGGGATTTTTATGAAATGAAAGACTATCAAGCACACCCCTGCCTATTTGTCAGTCCTACTTTAACTGTTCTCAATATGATCAGGCTTTCTCTGGTTAATATCAGACATGACTAAAAAATCACTATGTTTCATGTACAGTGGTGGATCTCAAAGTGCAGTCCTCGGGTCAGACATATCAGCATCACCTGGGAACTTCTTAAAAATGCAAATTCCTAACCAACCCCACCCCAGACCTACTGAATCAACCACTGTGGATGTGGAGCCCAGCAATTTGCATGTTAATAGGCTCTGCAGGTGATTCTCAAACTTAGTAAACTTTGAGAACACACTGGTCTACAGTAGTTACTCTCAACTCTAGGTATACACTGTAATCTCTGGGCATTAAAAAATTATATATATTTTCATTCCAGAACAGTTAAGTCAGAGTAATCAGAGTATTTTTTAAAAAGCACCCCTGGTCATTCTAATATGTGAGCAGGGCTGAGAAAACTCACTTCTATAGCATTGTTTCCCAGGGCATATTATGCAAAGGCACTGATTTTGGTAATTCTAGCAGGTAGTTTCAATTCGGGGCTGCTATGAATTTATTTTAATGCATATTAGAAAAATATAACTAGCACACAAAAACTTATTTTTTTCTTCTGCTTAAGACGATAATATATAATTTTCTTAAAATAAATATATAAAAGTAAAAAAGTGAGTCAATTAAAAACTGTATTAAATAAAAATATAGGTGTCTAAGACATGGCAAAGGAACTATTTATCTTAAACACTAGCAATATGCAATATCTCTATATTAAGTACCAACAGAATTATCCCAGTAGCTAGAGTTTGAAGGAGATGCTTCTATTCAGACTTTTGTAATTAGATGATAAAATTATTCTATAAAACTTGGCTTCTTCCCATGATGCCGTTACATCTGCTATGAGTAATTAAAGAAAAAAAAGCTTCCCAAAGGGAAAAATCCTGCAAACTCAGTGTTGGCTGTAATCACGGCAGGGTAATTTGCACACTGAGAGCCTGTATTTAGACCTTTGCCTTCACAGTGGGGGACAGGAGAGGGCATTTGTGTCTCAGCTCTGGAATGAGAGAGCAGAGTGGAAACACACTCACCTTTTTGTGCATTGGCTAGGGGTGCTAAGGTGAGCATCTCTCAGCCGGTAAATTCCAAAACAAAGCATGTTATACGTTTTCAGAGCTTTGCAGAACAGATCACCATAACAACCACCATCCTGGGAGTCAACAAAAGAACAGAGAGAAACATCATCTTTATTTGCCTGAAAGCAGAGGTCCTGGGAGAAAAGGGCCTTTTCATGAAAGCTTGTTTTGGTATCTCCTGAGTTAGAGGGTCTGCACTGATGGATTGTGGCTGAAGAAGTCAATGTAGTTAACAGCCTACACCCAACACTGGTGATTTTTAGGGATCAGATAATAACGAGGTTTTCCTCTGGCTTTCTGCAGTTTTCCATCTGTAGCAATAAGAGCTCTGAGGAAACTGTACCTCTCCCTCACAGTGAGGGCATAAAGCTTCAAAATCTCGGATGTATGCTCACTGAGGAGAAGAAACCAGCTCTGCAAAATGGTGATTACGTTTAGCCCCAGCTCAGCTGTAATCACTGCGATCTGACTGTGTTGTCAAAACTGCTTGAGTGATAATTAATATCACTGCAAGGAGAAAAGACCCCACCAGGTACTATGGTGACAGACTCTTTCAGGGAAGGACTGTGCGAAAAGCACAATTTACAGACCTCAGAAATGGCAAGGGTGGAAGAGAATGTGTTTCCCCAGGAGCTGAAGGTCTGCAGGCTGAATAACTGGGATTCACAGTTCTAATCAGTTCACAATCACCTTCCAAGGGTCTGGGGCCTGATGTGGAAGGTGAAAGCAAATTCATTCACTTGGAAATGCTGGCTTCATGCAGCCAGGTGGCTTCAGGTAGGAGTTATTATAGGAAGGGCACTGAAGAATGACTTCAGTGGGAATAAAGTGACTGCATTTGTCCTTCCTGTCATTGGAATTTCCATGGGGCATCTTATTAGAGGACACAAACAGAACCAAATCTTACCATTATTTAAAGTTTTTGTCCTTTTAAAGTGTATCATTAAGTAAATGATAGACGAAAAGAGCCACTAGCTATGGAAGCTGCCTTTCAAAAAAGCCCAGTCTAACATAGGTCCCTGCCTATAAGCAAATTATAATACGGTACAAGTCGGCATCAGGGTTTCAGAAGAAATGGAGAAAGCGATGCTTTCCTTGGGTGACACTATTGTTTGTACAATGGGTCTACTGGTTCCCAAGGCTTGTGACTCCACCCCTTGAACACTTCCATGGAGTAGGCTTGGAATAAGGATCAAGGCTGCACACTTCTGCCAAAGTGCTTGAATCAGGCTGGTGCGTAGAACCCAAAGGGAGGCATTGGTCCCTCTGCAGCAGGGAGGGCATGGGAAAGAGCAACTGGGTCCAGCCCAGAAATCAGAAGATCTAGGTCTGGAATTGGAGACATTAAAGGATCTGCATGAGATGCTGTTTGTCTGGCCAGTGGTTCTGGATGCACATGATTTCCAGCGGTGTTTTGAAAACCACCAGTGCCTGGGTCATACTCGGATACAAAAATTCAGAATCCTGGAGGCAGCGCACATCCATCAGTGGTTTTTAAACACTCCTCATGGCTATTAATGTGCAGTTGGGGTTAAGTAGCTCTGAGCTTTGCTAAACCCTATAGAAAGGGTCCCCAGAACTGGCTACATGTTGGAATTACCTGCTGCCTCCTATCTCATGGTCAAAGATACCTGAGGTGAGTAAGTCCACTGGCTCTGAAGCCAGGGTTCCTGGTGCGAATTTCTGAGAGGGCTGGTCCTCAGTCTCTCTGAGCCTTAGTTTCCTTAGAGTGTCTGATAATAGAACCTACATCAAAGTGTCACCACGAGGATAAAAATGAATGACTATGCGTAAAGTACAGTTCCGCATACACAGTAAACCATCAACATCACCTCTTACTGTTATTTACCATACATAGAAAAGACAGATGCCTAGCTTGTCACTGTCTGGCACCCAGTTCATTTGGACCAAGCTGTTCCCAAACAGCAGGCCTAGGTGACCTCTGTGCCATGAACTTACCCCCAAGTCTGCAAAGGGCCCATCCAGCAGTGCTAACTGGGCTACGCGGCAGCGGTCCCTGTTGGCCAGCGTCTGGGGGGTGCTATAGCCCCCTCGAAGTGCATTCTCCTCAGCAATCAGAGCCTCGAGCTCCGGCGTAGCTCCTCCGGTCACCAGGGTCCGGATCAGGGTAAGGATATTGTCATTGAAGTATGTCTGGGAGGAGAGAGGGAGATGGGGGAAGAGTCCTTTAAGCAAACACCCTAAAGTCACAACAACCGATGTCCAAATTACAACTTTTCTTCGTATCTTCTGTTTAAAGTTCTGGCCTGTCTCTTCAAATAATTTTATGTGGGAAGTGACAAGGCAGCAGCCTCCAATTATTCTAATCTTTTCTCTCCTACTTGGTTCTGCCACAGGAGCCTGACTTTTAAAAAACAATTCATGGGAGATTTTTCTTTTTTCTTTCTTTCTTTCTTTTTTTTTTTGGTGAGGAAGATTGTTCCTGAGCTAACATCTGTGTCAATTTCCTCTATTTTGTTTTTGGGACACCATCACAGCATGGCTTGATGAGCGGTATGTAGGTTCATGCCCGGGATCCAAACCTGTGAACCCCGGGCCGCTGAAGAGGAGCACACAAAATTAACCACTACACTACCAGGCCAGCTCCTCATGGGATTTTTATTAAAGGGCTAAAGTCTAGATGGTTGGTGTTTACCATAATTGGTGTTAGTAGGGATATAAATACTGCTTCCCCTCTTCGAGTCCCATGTGTCTACAAGAGACTTTGGAGGTGTGTAATAAAATGCAGCCTGCCCAGGCTGTTAACCCAAGCAGGACTGCCTCTCAGGTCCTGTCACCCATCTGCTAGGAAGCCACCTCCCCTCAATAGAGGCAAAACTTCTGTCTGTGTTGGAATGAGATGCTAGAGCATCTTAAGTCCACACACTTAACAATGTATCACATGCTTTGATAACAGTCTAACCCAGAAGTCTCTATCAATTAAATATGATAGACAAATTTATGATGAGGTGAATGTCCTGGTGTGTGCACTTTTGGTTTTATTTCTTAAATAACCTCAATAGTGTGAGGCAAAAATAGCTTATTGGAGAAGTTTCCCTCTATGTATATTTTTGTCTCACATCTGAAACATAATAGGTCTGTTAGGAACAAAACAATGGGAGTTTAAAAAAATTAGTAAGATGTCAAATAAAAGAGCTCCAAAAGACATTTGTCACCCAGTCTAACTCGAGAAAATCTCGGTTAAGGGCTGCATTCCATTTTCTGGTGTAAGAGGAAGTCCAACAGGCTAAATAAAATCAAACCAGATTTCACCTGTGGCTTCTGAGTACATATGGCCCTTTAGAAGAGGTTAGAAAAGACAGGTGCATTTTTACTTCAGCAGTCTCTTAGACAGTTTACCTGGAAAAACATAGTGGGGAAAGAACCAGGTAAGGATGAGTTCTCGTGCTTTGCCATCACTCTTTCTGTGTCTTCGGGGAGGCTGCCTAATCATTCTGGGTTTCAATTTTCTCATACATAAAATAAGCACAGCTATTAAGTTCAAGTTTATATGCAAAGAATTCCATGAGGACTTCTGAGTTAAGATGATAGCTGCTAGTGGGGGCTGGGTTCACTTTCCTCAGTGAAATGCTTGCAAAAACACCCAAAGTGATGCAAAATTCTAACAGCAAAGGAGACTGGGAATGTTATTCAAAACCTGCTGGAGGGTGAGGAGAGTGTATCATCCACCAGAGCTCAGATGTGTCCAGGGCAGAGAAGCAGAACACGGACAAGTAGGATGAAATGTTGCTGGAGTGGTTAAGGATGAGAGTCAGGCTGGGGGTTAATGCTGACTTCACCGCTCAGAAGCTGCAGGGCCTTGGAAAGTTACCTTACACTTTTGTGCGTCAGTTTCTTGATCTGTAAAATGTCATAACAGAGTGGTTATGAGGACTGTACAACCTAATACATGTAAAACACTTGGACAAGTACTTGGCGCAAAGGAAGCACCAATCAACACGTTGGGCCTGATATGAGAGAGGTGGGGTCTTTGCTGACAAAAGGAACAGTCAGCTCATTCCCAACCTTCCCTTTAAAAAAATCTTTTTTTTTTTTCCAGGAGTGTGGGCAAACCAAGGCTGTTCATTTTACCCTTGAATCCACACTTCTCAGTCTGCTTCCATTCTAAGACCCCAGTGAGGGTCACAGGGGACCGCATCTTGGGATGGGACAGCAGCGGGACAGGCCACCAGAGGGGGACTCTAGTGGTTTGGGGCACATATACAAACATTTCCCAAAGTTTTCAGAAGTAACTCCTCTTCCCTACAGTCCAATAACCCACCCTTAGAAGCAGGAGGCCCCTCTGCAGCCCTGTAGCACACTAAATGAGTGAGTGCGAGACACAGAACTTTGACAAGGCCTTTGGGCTCTAATTACCCTTCTAGATCAAGACCGAGAAGAGTTCAGCAGCACCCAAGGTGGACAGCAAATCATTCAAGACCTCATATACTGAAAACCAGACCCCTCCTTGCTCAAAGGTAGTGAGACAAAAGAAAAGTCAATATAAGTATTTTTTAAAAAGGAATGACGGCGTTTAAGACAGAAAAGCACCCTTTTAACTGGCTAAATAGTTACTGGAAGAAGTAAAAGAAAAATTTAGGAAGCATGTGTTTTGGAATCAAAATGAAAACTTTAAAATAGAGTATCTATAACAAGTAAAAGATCAGATAATAAGAAAATTGAATTCATACAACTATCCAATTATTTTTATGTTAGATATTGAAATTAAAAGGGATGTAATAAGAAACAGTTAAAAGAATCCAATACACTTTCCTGATAAACACACTCAACAAACTAGGAATAGAAAGAAATATCCTCAGCATGATAAAGGGCATGTATCAAAAACCCACAGCTAACACCAGCCTTATTGGTGAAAGACTAGATGCTTCCCCTTTAAGACCAGGAACAAGACAAGGAAGTCAGATCTCACCACTTCTATTCAACATAGCACTGGAGGTTCTAGCCAGGGCTAGAAAGAAATAAAGGTATCCGTATCAGAAAGGAAGAAGTAAAATTGTCTCTATTCACAGAGAACATGATCTAATATATAGAAAATCATAAGGGATCCACTAAAATGCTATTATAGGGTAACAAGTGAGTTCAGCAAGGTTTCCAGATACAAAGTCAACATGCCACTATCATTTGTGTATCTATGCACTTGCAATGAACAACACAAAAATGGAATTAAGAAAACAATTCCACTTACAACAGCATCATAAAGAATAAAATAGTTAGGAATAAATTTAACCAAGGAAGTGAAAGACTGGTACACTGAAAACTACAAAATATTGTTGCAAGAAATTAAAGAAAATCTAAATAAGTGGAAAGACATCCTATGTTCATGGATTGGAAGACTTGCTATTATTAAAATGGCAATAATCCCCGCACGATCTACAGATTCAATGCAATCTTTATCAAAATCCCCATGATCACTTTTACAGAAATGAAAAAGTTGATTCTAAAATTCATATGAAATTGCAAGCAATCCCAAATAACCAATCTTGAAAAAGAAAAAAAAAAGTTGGAGGGCTCACACTTGCTGATTTAAAAATGCACTGCAAAGCTACTGTAATCAAGACAGTGTGGAATGAACACCTAGGGAAATCTCATCAAGATGGCGGCATAAGCAGACTCTGAACTCATCTCCTCCCACAAACACAACCAGGTTACAACTATTTTTGGAAAAATCACCCTGGATAAAAAACTGAAAACAGGATAAAAAGAACCCCCACAACAAGGAACAGTCCTGACTAAGGCAGATGAGGCAGATATTCCTGCTGGAGAGAAAAAAGTCACCTTTGGGAGCAGTGGAGTTTCTCAGGTGGCCAGGTGGGAGCCACCATAAGGTACGCAGCCCTCCCTGGAGGAGTGAGGTCTGGAGCAGGGACTGATACTGCTATAAGCATCCTTCAGCCTCACCACAACTGAGACGAGGGTCTTACTATCTGGCTTCTCTGGCTATTAACTGCAGTGTGGAATACCCCCAGAAAAGCACCTGGATGAGAGCTGTAAAGACCCGGGTCTTAAAGTGCCCACACACAAACTCACCCGTCTCAGCAAGCTAAAATCATCAGAGGCTGACAGTCCCTTGGTGAAAAGAGACTCATCTGCTGGGCTCTGGGGGCATCTCGGAGAGAGGAGGGACCTCTCCAGAGACTGAGACATTGGTGGGGGCCATTGTTCTAACCTGGTCCTGGTGTGCTGACACAGACCCCAGAAGATGCCATTGAGGTTCTTCCCCTGGCCTGTCAGCCCAGGGATCTGCCACACCCACTAGAGCTCAGATTTAATCCAGTTCAGCCAGGGCAGGCAGCCCACCCTAGGGACCCATCCCACCCAACAGCAAGCCCTCAGGCTACTTGTTGGCCTGCATTGACTGCGTGTCTTGATCCTCCACAGGCAGGCAAGTGTCTCCACCTCTGTGGGGCAGGGCCTGTGTGAGGACCAGGTGAACTGTGGGGGGCATTAGTGGAGAGGTGGGGGCCTCTACAGTGGGATATCAGGGTACACTCCAGGGGGCTGGGCAGTGTGAATGGACCAGGACTGATTGATGGTGTGTGTGGTCCTGTGGGGGGTGAGGCTTATCAGCAGCAGAAGACCTGTGCTTCACAAATAGCCCTAAAAATGATCAACCTCACCTTCCAAAGCCTGAAACAATTGAGTCCTCCTATGCCTAGGGCCAGCCCCACTCAGCTGCACTCTTAAGAGAACTGACAACAGCCTTGTAGGCCTCAGGCCTATAGCAACTGTAAGCCACTGAGCCTAGCAACCAGCTACACTGGGTACCTACCCAATTAAAAGGAAAACTGCAACAGGAGTGTGCTGTTACACCTTGTAGCCAATGGTGCTGAGGCTCCCCAAACCAGATTTACAAACAGCTGGGCAGGGAAGGAAAGACTAGACTCCCTGGGTACCTGCATTAAGAGCAACCCTGCCACAGAAGAAGGACACAAAGAGTCCACAAAGGGGTCACTCCTGGATCTTTGGGACTGGTGACGAGAGGAAAGCATACTGCTGGGCCTCAAAAGGCATCTCTTACGTAAGGTGACTTCTCCAAGATCAGGAGACATAGCCATCTCACCTAATACATAGAAATAAGTACAGAGAAAGAGGCATAATGAGTAGACAAAGGAATACATTCCAAGCAAGGGAAC